GCTCCTCGTAAGCCTTGTGCTCCAGACCCCTCCCCAGCTTTGTGGCTCTCCTCTGGACATGCTCCAGCAACCCAACGTCTTTCTTGGTGTGCTTTTCTAGCAAAGCCTCGTCATTTGGGTTGCGGGGAGGAATCAAACAGCTGGAGGCGGCACGGGTAGAATCATCGAATTGTTAAGGTTGGACAAGACCTCCAAGATCATCAAGTCCAAGCGTCAACCCAACACCCTCATGCCTACTAAACCACGGCCTGAAGTGCCGCGTCTCCATGTTAATAATGGATTAATAATATAATAATAATTACTAATGGATGGGACTGCTCCCCAGTTGCCTCGTTATTCAAACAAGAGGTTAAAGTCAGCCAGGCTCTGTGAAAATGGTGTATTTTTAATAAAATCTTGGGTCTTAGCCCTCTCCTAATACAGCAGGAGTTAATCCAGCTCAGAAAATATCTTTGTTAGCAGAATCCTCCTGTTCTCAACCCTGGGAATAAGAAAGTCGGGTGATAGGGTACCCAAAAAAGCAGGTAATTAAATTTGCTGTGGGCAAACTGAGTTAAAACTAGAAATATTGCCCTGTCCTCCCACCACAGCAGACAAAACCCAAGTGGCGGTGGCTGTGAAAGAATAGGATGTCCCTTGCACTTGGGCTGAGCCTGCTTAACCACTTAAGCCCTTTAAGCCCCACCGCCAGGACTAAAGCCCTGTTGTCAAGTCCTCCTTCCACTTCCATAAGCTTCGTTATTATGATTATTAATATTCCTGTTAATTTTAGAGCTGGGCTACATGCCTGGAGGGCTTCAGGCTCTTTAAGCCTAAGTGCTGTTCGCGTAAGAGGGGAGGAAATCGGGGCAATACCTGCAACCCCCCCCCGGCCTCACGCCGTCTGCTTTGCCCCAGAGCCCTTAAATTCCCTGCAAACCCCCCAAATTCACTGTAAACGCAACGATGTCCCCAGCAAAGGTCACCCTAGCGACTTGTTTCAGGATGTCGGGGCTGTCACACGCTTTAACCACTGGAAGCCACAAAAGATAAAGGAAATCATGCACACGGAGAGCTTTTAGGGGTGTTTTTTAGCTTAAAGTTTAAAGAATGAACCCATCTCTCGATGCATAACGCGTGCTTCCAGCCAGCAGCTGCCTCTGCCCCCTGCCACTCGCTGACCCGAACAAAGGGACTGGTTGCTAAACCAACAGTGCTGGGGCTTTGCTGCGCAGCCAAAATTCAGATTTTTTTTTTCACCTGGAGGACCCTTTCGTGCCTGGGAAAGCACCCAGCCCGGCAGCTGGTTACAACCCAGCTCTCGGTGATTTTTTTTTTTTCCCCACCCCCTTCCTGCAAATTTGATCCAGCACCTAAATTAATCCTGGGAAGCAGCAGGTATTCGCTGGGGAGGATAGCGGCGTCTAGGGCTCGGCACCTCCGGGCAACGCAAGAGAAACTACTGCAGCGACACTGCCCCAAACCCCCAGACCCACCCCAAAATTGGCATCTATTTTCTTGCAAGACACAAGTCAACGGGTGCCCAGAGCGGATCTGCACCTCCCTGAACCAGCTTTTACAATGGGAAACCACTCAGCTGCAATTCCTGCTTTACACCCATCAAAGCTCCACCGTGATTCCAGCCTGGCTCTGAACGGAGCCCACGGCTGCAGAATTAGCTCAGCATTAACACTGGCCATAATATAGGATAATTTTAGGTATGCGAGAGCCTACGCCGCCGTGGGGCATCGGCCAGGACGCACCGGTTGCGCTGATTTGAGGGGCACAGAGCCCTTCACACCCCAGCTTTGATCCGGCTGGAAAACCTCACCCCGCCGTGATTTTCCAACCCCAAACCCCCTGCTTTGGCTTTAGGTACAATAAAAAAAGGTGATAAAATGGGGGACGGGGGGTTGCAATCCGCCTGGGCAGCAGGACTAAGCCTTATTTAAGGCTCCGGCACATTAACCATCCGCTGTCGTGGTCCTTCTGAATATGCAACAGCCTTTCCCTGGGGTTTCATGGCTCAGGGATCCTTCTCCCAACAAAAAAAGAGGCGACTGGGGTGCACATCCCATGGGATTAGATGCTCCATTCCCGTTCAAGAAACCCCCAGGTCTGGGAGACTTTTCTCCTTCCAAATATCATCTTTTCTGCTTCCTTGCTGCTAGGGAGCAGTGGAAGCTGATACAGATCCTCACCCATTTATATTTTTGGGGTGAGCTTTGGAGCTCGGTGCCCCAAGCGAGCGCTCAACCCAACCCCACGCAGGCTCCCAAGTTGCTTTTGCAAGGGAAAAGCAAAGATCAAAAAAAAAAAAAAAAAAAGGAGCCTTTCTTCCCTTCCTGCTCCCCACGCCACGGACGCCAAAGAGCGATGGAAATAACCTACCTGGAATCATTTCCTTTTTTTCCCCCATTTCTTCCCGGCAAAACCAAACCTTCACTGCACGGTACAAAAAAATAAAAAAAAAACCCAAACCCAAACCCCCAAACTTTGTCCTTTATCCACTCAGGCTTGTTAAATTCCCAAGGCTTAAGGAGCAGATTATAGAGAATATAAAGCACTTTCCTCTCCCTTCGGCTCTCATGACGGGAAGTTACCAAATCAAACGGGATGCGTGTAGGAGAGGTGAGCACTTTGGGTGGCAGCGGGACGGAGCAAGCGAGAAAGGGGAGGGAGGGAGAGGTGGGAGGACAGGAATCAAAGGTTTGGGGGTATTTTGTGGAGGGTTTTTTGTTGCCCACTTGGAGCGAGGTAGGAAAATCCCCTCCA